AATTGACCCTCAAGAACAGCAAGTGTAGCAACCTGAGCACCACAAGATTAAAGAAGCTTTTGCATCTCTTGTCTGTTCAGGTTAGGCAGTCTCAGTATTAAATTCCTGAAATTACAGAGGCTAAATTTTTTCTTTGCTATTGTACAGTAAAATTTGCTGATGATTTGTCTTCAGATAGTAAAGGTGGTATGATCTAAGAAGGAAGAATGAATGAATGCGTCACATACTTTTTTTTAATCAGGAAATTTGATTCAATCTTACATGAATGTTGGGGCGTACACCTTTAACACAAATTTAAAAAGAAGATATAAAAAGAAGATTGTCTATGTTTCAGTAGAGCTATTGCACTTCCATTGGCATTTCTGGATGTTTTATATCGTTCTAAGCAGTAGATTTTTATGAATGGTATAAAAAATGAGCCTCAGACTGGAATTTTGGGATAGAAAGAGGTAGGTTTTGGAGTGGTGGTGTGTTTTCATTTTTGTTTTGTTTTGTTTTTAATTCTTTGGATAGAATAACCACTCATCTCCAGACTTTAAGGATTAAGGTGGTGAACACTTGGGCTCTTCTTTCGTTGTGACTCCTTCAGTGGGCAAAGAACTTATTTTTGGTTAAGATCTTACCAGAGCCCAAGTAATTTAAAACTGCTTGTCTTGGGAATACTTTCAAGTGATGGTTGTAGAAGACTAGTTGATAGGAAGACTGTGTTGAAACCTAGGGCTATCACAGTCCTACTTATAATCATGGCTTCAATCCTGTAAAATATCAAAGTGGCTCAGAAGGAAAGGGAATAATTTTTTTAATTTAAACGAGAAGAAGAGTCAATTCAACAGAATAGTCAGTTACAAATACATTGATATAAGAGAAAACCTTGATGTTAAACTCAACTAGAACTTGCTTCTAGAGGCTTTTAGAATACTCTGGGAAGGATTAATTTTGCAGAAGAATACTTCTGATGCACCTATTATTACAGGCTGATGAATTATTCCAAGCAACAAAACTGAGTAACTTTTCAGATTTTTTTTTTCCTCTCTTTTTTTTCTCTTGAATAATCTTTCCTGTTTCCTTTTGTGGCTGATAAAGGATTCTGAACAGTTTTCACTAAGCATCTGGTGCTGACAGTGACTTTTTCTTTGAATAACTGGTTTAGTTATTTAGTTTTATTTGTTGTGAAAGAAACCTTTTCCCAACAGGTCACAGACAATCCCAACTCTAAGATGCATCAGACAATCCCAACTGTTAAGATGCATCAGACACTCAGCAAAGGAATGTTCTACTTGTCTCCTGCTTGGAATACGTATTTCATAAGGACATAATGTATCTCAACTTAAGTTTAATCTGCTATATTTGCTCAAGGAACTTAGCTAAAATCTACTGAGAAGAGTTTGTATTCAGCTATGGTTTCTTGCATACTCATTCTATCAGATTCCAGCTGTAGATTTCAGTACAGTGCCTTTGAATAGGGCAGTATCATTTTAAGTGATGCATTCAAGGATATTCCTTTGTCCTGGAAACTTGTCAAGTTGATGATTCTTTGATATTTTAGTAGCGAAACCATGTGGGAGATCTTGTGGTATAGCATTAATCATCTTACAAAGACTAATTCATATCACAGCTCTGAGCATCAGAGCATTAATTCTTACTTCCATGGCTTTCCTATGTAAAATATTGGCTATTTAGATGAAGATATTTAAACCAGTGTAATATTTTTCTGTGAATAAGAAGGCAGATAGCAGATCCATTTGTCATGAGATGAAGTCAGCTTCTGAAATTAGTTTTCAACACCAGGTATTACTGTTCTGTCAACTCCCTGTGAAGATAAGACTAGTAATCTTTAAAAGACCTTTTTAGAAGTCATTCCTTTTCAGTGTGACTTTTGTGTGGACCGTGTTAAGTAAACGGATCAGCAGATGTAAAATCTTACATTTTGAAGAAGATAGAGGACAAGATTCTGGGTGGCGCATGTTTGTAATTGAGAGGTTCTGTGTGTTAAGGAAGTTCAAACAGGAGAAGGTGTCCACAGCCAGACCATTATCTGTGACACTCTGTTGAATAAGGTCACACATAGACAGCTAGATGTACCAAAGTTTTGATTTGCTGTAGGAGTTTTGTTCAACTGTTTATACTAAAAAGTAACTACCTCCTTTCAAATGGATGTGTGTCAGATTTTTGCTTGGTTGCTCAGACTTGCAGTTATTGAAGTCTCTTGCACAGCCTAGCCAGAGTAATTTGGGGGGGTGAAAAAAAAAAAAGGAAAGTGAATACTGTCACTTTCCATCACTTCTAGACCAGTAAAATTAAAAACATCTCTAGTGGAGTATAATAATCTAGGAAAAGTACTTAGTATTGCTTTTAGGGACCTTTACCATTAAATCAGGCTTTTATTTTAATGTTAAAGAATGTTCTGCTTTCCCAAAGTATTTCCAAATGGCCCATTGTGCTAAAAGAAAAAATTATAGGGTATTTGCAGGATCAGAAATTTTTGTGTCTGTTGAAAAGCTAACAACAATGTTATTTTGATGGTATTTGAGAAATGTGCCTCAGACTGTGACCTGTGATAGTTTGAAAGAAACTTCCATTAAATATTGACTGATTTTGCAGAGATATTTTGAAACTTGCAAGGTATTTTTTTGTTATGTTGCTTTTTTTTTTTTTTTTTTTTTTTGTATGCTTCCTAGAATTGGCCTTGTATGTGATGTAAGCCTTGGAAATGACTTGGAAGTAGATAATAATGCTTCCATATCTATGCTGTTAAATTCATCAACAGCCATTAAAACACCCTTACAATGGGCACTCCTGTTTTGCTGTTCTCACCTACTAAAAGAATCGTGTCTTTGAAAAAAATTACGTTTTCTTGTTTCTATTGCACTGGAGCTCCAATCTTTCATATTCTCAAACTGATTTTACTCCCAGCGAGGGTGGTGATTCTTACTGATCTTGCTAAGCTCTACCTAGATGTAATTCAAAAAGAAGTAGTACAGACCATTAAATCAAAACAGTTTTCAGCTCTGGGCCTATTGTCCAGCATGCTGCATTCACTTTCATGTTGGAATCATCAGCAGGTTTAATAAACATCATCCCTTTTCCATCATCAGTCTTTCAGTGAAATGTGAAGTAGTATTCTACCAGGAGAAAACTCAGTCAGAGCTTTCTTCCTGGATGGAGCAAGATGTGAACTAATCTTTTTTGAAACTTGCTTTCCAGTCAGTTCTGCACACATCTGCTAGTAGTTGTATCTAAATTATGTTTCTGTACATTGTTTTGCATGTGCTCTCACAAAACATTTCAAAAACCTTTCTAAAATTAAGATAGGACATCTGTTGCTTCCCTTTTATTTGCAAGGACAGTTATCAAATTTCTGTAATGATACTGAAAAAATGTAATGTATTCTTGTTGAATCAATGTAGGATGTTAATTGCATCTGTGTTAGATTCTAGGTGCACACAAGCAGTTTGCTTATGTTTTCTAGTATTTTTGTGGAAATTTCATTTAAGTTAATTGACCCGTAGTTCTGTGGTTGCTTCTTTTTGATGAAGCTCTATGTGGGCACAAATTCGATTAAATAGTAAATGTAGCTCACTGAATAAAAACAATCTGAAATTAATGCACATGGTTTCCTTAACTTGCAAGTGTAAAAAGAAAGGAGACTGTAGAGCCAGCATCTGAGAGAAATAGTTCTCTGAAGCATTTTGAGTGTGTCAGTAAGAGTTAACATTTCCCCATTTGCCCTGATGCCTCTTCTGTGGTAAGACAGCTGCAGGAGTTACCATGTTGTTTCTGATAAGGTAGGATCAGAATTTTTGTATTTTGTGGCCTATTTTTGCTTTTGGTTGTGTGTATGGCCCAGTAAATACATCTTTTGTTTCATTATACTGTTAGCTGTTTGTATTGGAGCTCTACCAGTGATCTGTAAGTTTAGGCAAGTTATTTTACCTTTGCCTACCTTCTTTTCACTGTTTTGTCTAGAGCTGCCCAATCTAGGTTTGAGCTTTAAGTGGCTTGCAACAAGCGTAGCTCTTGTGTTAGGGCTATAAACAATTCTCAGTTCTATTAGGCTGGCAAGAAGACTTCTGTGTTATCAGGATCCCTAGATATGGAAAGCAGTGAACTGCTAAAGGCTTCCAGTATTTTTGCTATGGGACTTGTCATATGCCCACCAGCCCACACTGATGAGAGCTCCAGGGACCGTTCCTGCCAGTGAAACAATGTGTGTCATTGTTTCTTCTTTAGCAGCTGAGATTTTTTGGGTTTTGTTATACAAAAATTTTGGTACATGACTTAAGAGGTGGGAAAAAATTGGTCATCTCTGACCTAGACACTAAAGAGTTTTTCAGTGACTTTTGCATTCATAAAATGCTTGATCATCACTGTGAGGCCCAACTTCTGTTGTGGTGTTCCAGATAAACAGGAGATATGGAATAGTCATAGATCATGAACATACATGTTCAGTTGTCATAGCCTCAAATACCTGATTCTGAAACTTGCTCACCTGGAGGCTTACTGTGAGACTTGGAACAATTAAAGGTTAAAATAGGTTAAAATGACTGCATATTGGTGCAGTAAAACTAACATTCATTTCAGGTGTCTAGATGGCAGGGATAGCGAGCATGCAACTATGTTACTGTGACATAAGTAGAGAGTTGTGGCCTGTAAAATTGTATACAAAATAAAGAATTTAATGACTTTGACTAATTGATGTTATTCTAATAGCACTTTCAAACCAGGGCATTTTGTGTGTATATTTTCTGTTTTAAAATGGGAAAGAAGGTAGCCAGCACAGATATTAAAATTTCTTATGCTGTTGTGAGAACTGCTGATCAAAGAGAATGGGCCTCCTGCATCCTTCTCACCTTTTATTCTTTCCCAGAATTGTAAGGATGAGTATTTCTAGTATTCACAACATCTTTACTATGTCAGTCGTTTGTACCCTGTAGAATAATGTTAGTGTCTGCTACCATCTGTAACTGCTTAGAACATTCTTCTCTTATCTTCATTTTTAGCTGTACATCCTTGACCCCTGGACCTAGCTGTGATCGGTTTAAGCTACATATTCCTTATGCTGGAGAAACACTCAAATGTAAGTTAAAGACTATTGCTATTGCATCTTGGCCTTTCTTTCAGTGTTCTGTGTCACGTTAAGTTTTCCAGTGTGTCTATCTAATTTTGTGAGTTTTGAAATACTTGTGTTTGTTGTTTTTTCTTAAAGCTTCAGCTCTAAGAACATGTTTTAAGATAAGTTTGCAGCTATCCTTGATGCTACAAATTTGAAAACGAGTCCTAAAAGACAAAGTCTCAACCCCCACCCACAGTATTTCTAATAAAATGTTATGACTAAGACAATCTCATGACCATTTTTAGACTCACAATTCGTATATGCTTTGCGTTGTTTCTTTCTTTCTCTTTTAGGAAGAGTTCTTTATTAAGCTCCAATAAAAGAAATCATTCTGTTATATTATTAGCTATCTGTAAACAATAACTGGTAAAATCAACCAGATTAATGTGGCTTGTTTTTTTTCTGATTTAGTGGTGTGGTTAAATCCTCCTTACTCTTTCAGGATCTGTAGACAGCTGGCTCATTTGCCCACTCTTCAATTAGTCCATGTTCTGTTTCGAAGGATTAGAATAAAATTTGCTTTTGTATGTGTTTATAAGGTAAAAAACCAGTTTTCTAAGCACTTGAGTTGCTAAAAAAATGGTAAAGTTGTGGGGTTTTTTTTATCTCTAACAACTGAAGTATGAGAGAGGATGAAGAATTTCAGATAAAGTAAAATTTAAAGCTTGCCAATTTTAGATTTAGGGCAGCACTGGTGAAACCACATCTGGAGTACTGTATCCAGTTCTGGTCTACCTAGTACCAGAAAGGCATGGACATACTGGAATAAGTCCAGCAAAAGTCAACAAAGATGATTGAAGGACTGGAGCATCTTGTACAAGGAGAAGCCGAGAGAACTGGGACTTACCAAGAAGACTCAGGGCAAATATAAATCAATGTGTATAAATACCTCATGTGGAGGAATGAAGAAGATTGAGCCAGGCTCTTCTCAGTGGAGCTCACTGAAGGGAAATGGTCACAAACTGAAATGCAGAAAATTCCATTTAAATGTAATAAAACCCCTTTTTTTGTGGAACAGGTTGTGCTCAGAGCTTGTGTAGCTTGTAAATATCTATCCTTGGAGATACCCAGAACCCAACTGGGCATGACCCATAGCAATCTGCTCTTGTTGACCCTGCTCTGTGCTGAGAGGTTGGATTAGGTAGTCTCCAGAGGTGCTGTCCAGCCACAGCTATCCTGTGAGTCTGTGAAAATATGGTATCTGGAGGAGCAAGTACTTAGCGTAAACAGAAATGTTAAGCATTTAAAACACTGCTTTGATAGTATCAATTTAGAATGCATCATACATATGCTATATCTCTCCAAGACATTTTAAATATTAAGAATGTGGTATTCCTTCTCTAGTAGTTTTTCTTGTCATTATGTAGCACACTAGACAAACAGAAATCAACACAATTAAACTTCTTATCATCAGAAGTACTTTAAAGCTTTCATTTGGCACCTATAAGGAAAGTTGTCGTTCCCAGAAGTTGGTCTGGAAGTTTGCTCATGTGTTTGAGAGAGGGGCTAAGCTCATGTATCACTCTACTATGACTGTTAATCTATTCTAAAAGTATGAAATCATGGCTCAAGAGCATTTACTAATTTCTCTCTTATGAAAGATAAAAATGGACTATTAAGTTCTAGCTAGCAATTATTTTAAGGAAAAAAAAGAAAAAAGATGTGGCTAGGCATTTATTCAGAATTTTCAGTAAGTAATGTCCATATTATATGAAGTCACCTACCATACCAGGTAGATTTTTTGCCCTTATTCAAACTTTTTTTAAAAAAAAATTGTGAGCTGTTGAGTCTTGATGTATCCTGCAACGTGTAGTAGATTCTATTTGAGACTTGTTTGATGGCTACAATCAAGATGCAGTGAAAAGAAGCTTCATTGGGTGACATTGCTCTAGAGAATGGTATCATATTTTCTATAGGACTTCAGTAACTCATCACTATACAGAGCTGTACTGTTACATTCTGAGAGCTTTAAGTCTGTACTTGTTTTTAAGTAGAGGCTAGAATTGTTCCTGATTCATAAAGGAAAATTAGTGTATTAACATGCCCATATGCAAGGACATAGGCATACAGACTACACTAATACACTAAATAGCTGTAGTTCAGTTAAAGTACCTAGAAATGTGATTAGGGACTATGGGTTACACTTCAATATCAAGAAATCAGCTTTTTCTCCCTGCCCTTATATTTTAAATATCACATAAGCAATTAAATAACTATAATGCTAGTGCTCTTCACCTTCACAAAATCCAAACCATGCTGTATATTTTGACATGACCAACTGAAAGTCATATAAACTTGTGTATCTTTTCCAGAGGAACATCATAATAGCAGTGAATTCGAGTAATGATAAATCTCCACATTGCAGCATTGCATATTTGAAAATGCTGTGCATTGTTCAGTCTCACAGCATGTGGAATAAATAGTGATGTGAGCAGATTCAAGAAAGCTTTAGGAGTTTTATGTTTAGATCTATAATGATGGCAGGGGAAGACAGCCATGGTGTGCAACCAGCGATTTGTAGATACTTTGTTGTAGGCTGTTGCTAGATACATTATCTTTTAAGGGCAGAATATTTCTGCAAAGTGAAGTTGCGAAATCTGCCAGAATAAAAACATTGGCTGAAAATGCTTAGCTCTCCAGTGTATGCTCTTCATTATGTGGTGCCCAATACAAGCTGAAGTGTGTAGTTCCTTTGTGGTTTGTGTTACATCCTCTTTGCAACAGATCAGGTTTTTGCATATCATCAATCATAACCGCTGCCACTGCACAAATACCCTAGTATGAATCCTAGTGTGTTGAAAACTGTTGGTATGCTACTTTAGAGAAGTATAACTGCATAGTCACAGTCCTGTTTTCCAAAAGATCAGGAAGTTCACTGTTTTTTGAAAATGGGGAAAGTGTACTTGTAGGCAATGCAGTGGCTGACTACTTGTGTAAAATAATTGTTTCAATAGCTTCACTAAGATCAACCATCCTGTGAGTTAAGAATGGCATGTTGGGAATTTTAATACATTTCCTTGAGATCCATCTAGCTATTTAATAGTTTCTTTCAGATGTCATGTTCACCTTACTCTTGCATGTATTTTGAGCTGTTGGAATGTTACACTGAACAGTACTCAGCTGCAGCCTCAGGAGCCTTGGAGACCTTGGAGATACACACAATTTTATACTAGAGAAAATACTATGTCGGTGTTGGGGATAAATTAGTTTGTCATACTAATTCTTCTATCACACTTCAGAAATTTTGAAATGGTGCTTTTCAGAAAGACACTTTATTTTCTTCTATAAGGAAAACCACAGATTTTGTGTTTTCATGACCAGAATGGTTGGAAAACTTGAGCCTACTCTTACTAGACTGTCAATTAAGATCTAAGGCAGCTGTATTTCATTAGTTCATCCAGCACTCAGTGTTGCTACGTTAAACTCAGTGCTTTTCTTTATGTCTGAAATTTTCAAAGCTCTTAATAGGAGTTTTAACTCCAAGAAAACTGTAATATCCTCTAAGAGGTTGAATCCGTGTTGCAACAATAAAACGTAATTCTAAGTGATATGCAAAGTTGTCCTTTATTGCTAACTGGTCAACTATATCTGATGAGTAAAGTTAGTTCTCCTTTCTGGGAGAGGTATTTGTGTATTTTGAGGTGAAGTGTTTTGTAACTCTTGCAGTAATATTGATCTTCCTTGCTAAAACATCAAGACACGTCATAAAAATTGTCAGGGTAAGCAGAGTTATAAACTGTAATAATCTTTATTGAATAATATTAATAATTAAAATACACCTTTAAGAATCAATTACCTGGTACTTACAATTTTGTTTGAGCAAGCCCTGGAATCTCTTTGGTTTGGTTTTCCATTTTCACTCAAGCTTCTTGCTACGAAGAAAGCCTGACTAATTTTTTTTGCCTGTGCTCTTCACATTTTCTTTTTCAGGCACTGATGCCTCCCTCCTTCTCTGTCCTTGAGTGCTGTCATCTGGAATTTCACGGTGATTAAACAATGTGTTGCCCTTGTGATGCTACTGTTCTCTGTGGCCTCTTGAACTCTAGTATTTCATCTTCTGTCTGTTTTTCACTGTTTCTGTGTTGAGTGGATTACAGCTCTGGGTTCTACTGCCACCACTTTGGTTTCCTTGATCCCAAAGAATGTTTCTTTTGTCTTGTTTGAAGCTTAGTTTTTCTGGTTTTGCTTATGATTTCTGTTTAGTTTCTTACTCAGTTATAGGCCTTAGAGGGGGAAATCACAGTTTTGCTGCCTAACTAGTCTTAAGAATTTTGCCCGTAATATACTGTACAGAATTTCATCTGCTTTTATTCCTGTGATGGAACACACAGGAATAAGTTCAATAAGTTCATCTCGTCCTCCTGTGACTTTCTACTTCAAGGAAGAAATTAGAAACAAATAAAATTCTAAATACGGAGAAGAGACTGACCTTCTTATGACCCTTTTAAGAGCTGCTTCGCAAAATTGTTTGCTAAACACTTGTTTATTATGCCAATAAACAACAGTAAAAATTACAAGTTATTGTAAGATTTAAGATTCTCGTAACTAGGTTACTGCAATGTGTATGTCAGTCTTCTGTGCACCAGTAGGTTGTTTTGCACAGGTTGTGGTTTAGTTGAGGCTCTTATGGGAAGGACTTTTCGGTTGCTGTAATTCAGTTTATACTTAGGTGATATCATTACCTGTATGATAAGTGTCTTTTTTCTGGGTCATGCAAAGTGCCAAAGATTTTTCTGGGCAATATGTTTTCTGAAGTTTTGCCAAGTTTTGCTTTATGTGGCAGGAGTAATAAATCATCTTCCTTCAGTAACCTGTTTGTTATCTGATGAATGTGCCTAATGGGGACCATTAAGAGAGAGTCTAATCTTTTTATTATATTTATTTATTCTTAGAATACAAAGTTTACAACATTGTTTTCCCTTTTTAAATAATCACTTTCACTTGTGTTTGGGATTTTTTTGACA